AGCATGGGAATATGAAAACAGAAATAAGTTTCTGAGAATTCCAGCTCTTTGGAGGAATCCAAGTGTAACCTAGGAAAATTCTTCAGTAAGTAAACTCGACTCAACCATGCATATCCAGAAATAAACATGAAATCTGACTCATTAAAATTGGAGCAAGGTTAATTTTGCCTGTTTGACAATGAGATACGTTAGGTATCTCTTGTAAGTTCTTTTTCACACAAGGGCTTTGAGATCCATGCTCTTTATATCTTATAATTTTCCCACTTTTAAAAAATGGTCTTTTGGGGACTTGAAAGAAAGCTCGAACAGTAAAGCACTTACTATGTAAGCAATAGAAACTAAGTTTAATTCTCAGAAACCATATTTAAAAGTCAGACCTGGTAGTGTGTGGTTCCTTGCAATCCTAGCACTTGGAAGGTAGAGACAAGCAGATCCCTGGCGCTGGATGGATAGCCAGCCTTAGCCTACAAAAGAAATTCCAGACCAGTGTGTCTCAAAACACAAGACAGACAGTTCCTAAAGAATGACATCCAATGTTGACTTCTGGTCTCTATATGCAGGTGCACACACACACACACACACACACACACACACACACACACACACAAACACACACACACACACACACATACACACACAATATCTTGCAAAGGCAAACTGGGCAATTGCGTTGGGGTTTGTGACACAAAGCTTAGGAAAGTTTTCTGTCCATAACCCAGTCAACATAGCCCTAATCCTGGTGAAGGGTAGCCGGAAAATGTAAAATTCTTGTTTTGCCCAAAAATAAAATGAGGTCTGATGAACTCAAAATAGTATTTGCCATGATTTCCACCTTAGATAGACCCTTGGGCAGCATCAGTAATCATATTGCTTTTGACAAGTGATGAGGAATGTGTTTCCTTTGTGTAAAATGGGGAGAAGAAACAAATTTGTTTTATGTTTTCTCTAGCTCTAAAATTCTCCTAGTTTATGACAGTATTTAGGACTTAATGCATTTTTTTCTGCTCAAATTTCATATTTATATTTCCAATGTACTTTGCTCAGAAAATATTTAAGGAAATCCTTTGAATATTGAAAAAAGAGAATAGGCAAATGAGAAAGAATCCTTCCTTCAAGGTCTTAATAACATAATAGAATAAAAATATTTTCTTACAATATAGTTCAGATAAACCTTAAGTAATAAAATATTGTGAAAAAACCTGGGGCCACTAAAAAGAGCAATTACTATCCAACTAGACATCTAATAGAAGTGTGCTGGCTTTGTTTTCCTTTTTCTTCTTTAACTTACATTCTTTTTCCCCTCCAAAAGTGATCTCACACAACTTATAAATAAAATCTGTAGTAGGTTAGTTCTTTATGCTATATTTTAAAATTCCCTAAACTATGCCATATTTAGTGCATGAAAGAAATTGATTTACAGTTTCAGTTTCATATTAACATAAACAATTCAAGGAACATTATGCTCTTAAAAATATCTCAGCTTAGGGACTTCTATGCTCTAGCTTTAATTCCATAATCTGTAAAAACAAGACCATTTTTGACGTGTTTATCAGTCACACTTAAGTGGTTTCTAGTTTTTGTTTTGATGAGGAAATGATGAAAATCCAATCCTAATAGAATATGTAGAGCCAAGAGAACAACAATTTCCAACAGGTTTTTCTCCAGCTGTGGAAGAGAGCCCATGTTATTCATCTATTGAATACTTGTATAGAGTTTGCTATGAGCTCTTGGTCTTTGCAAAGAGTCATTCTGTCAGCCACTGCTATACTTCAGGAGTAGATGCTATTATAAGTATTTTATACTATAGAAACAAAGCTAGAAAGAGTCAATAACCTGTCCAACATCCCCACAACAAGAAGTGGTGAGGCTGAAACTTTCACCTACAAGAGTCCTGAGCTCTACACTCCTTGTGATGGACAGTAGATATAAATGAAAATAAATGATGTCATCACACTGAACACAGGTAAACACAGTCCATCACTCCTGTGGCTAACAGATCCAGGGTAAAGGTAAAAAGATCTAGTATCTATTTCTTTGTCACAAAGATGTAACTGGTGAAAACTTTTACATTTCAGAGGGACACTTCTGTTAGTCAACTAAGTTACTTCAATTCCCTTTTCCAGATAATCAGCTCCCTCCTGAAACCAAGAAAATTTGGTTTACACATTACCTACTTTTCAAACTAGTTACTTAGAACAGGAATAAATTTCAAGAGTGTAACTACTCTTAAAGAACTTTTAAGGAAGGACATTCATTTTTTTTAGAGATTGATTCTATTATTATTTTAAATATAAAGAAAACGACAAATCTTTACATGTTCCAGAAATGAAGCAAGCATCTGGCATGGGATTGCTGCCCATACTCCAGTTTGGAAATAAAGGGCATGTGTTTGGTAACAATTTCTTCAAAAAGAATCACGAAAGAGACGACAATGATTTAGAAACTATCCTCTAAGGAAATTTATCATGCTCTTTGCAGGAGACAAAACAGCCTTCAATTTTGTATGCAAATTCTTGTCAGCAAGTACACTATGGTGTAATAGACAATATATGACCATGCTATGCTGTGAAATGACTTTTGTTTGTTTTTTTTTTCATTTTCTTTTGTTTTGTTTTTGTATCAGGAAAGATATCCTATTTTATTTTAATTCACCTAGGCAGACACAGCATTGATATGAAGATTGATTTACTTAGCTTGACTGTAATGAATATAAAAATCTGGTCTCTTGACTGGAAAAGAGTTCATTTCCTTTCAGCTATTTGCTTCGTTTCCTGGGACAGGCTTCCTTTATGCTCACAGTCTTCTAAAACAGTTTGTGAGTTATTCTAACCCATTTAATAGAATTTTCCATGCAACCTGCTTCCATTGACCTACACTGATTTTACTAGGGACATTTTTAATATTACAACCCAAATACTTTCTTTGCTAAGAAACCTTAGTCTTCTTCAGCTGGTGTTACAAAAAACAACAGGTTGCATGGCTTAAGCAACAGAAATTCACATTCTCAGAGTTCTAGAAGGCTGGTTAGTGCAAGTCCAAGGCTTTCCTGCTAGCAAGTGCTTTGCTGTAGCCCGTTTCTCTTGGAATCTCATACACTCATTGAGAGTGTATACTCTTCAGTGTCTCTTCTTTTCTCGAAGTAGACTAATTCCATCAGACCCATGCTTCACCCTTATTTCTTCATTTAACTCTAATTACCACCTAACACAAATCCAGATATCCTCCAAACACAGCACACTGGAGGTCAGGACTCAACACATGAATTTGGGTGAGAATAATCATCCAATCCAAAACAGCATTAATCTTCCATCTTATAAAACACATAGACTTTATTCATTCTTACAGGTGAAATTTCAATTCATTTGCATGTTTCTGATTTAAGTAATATCGCTTTACTATATTTATATTCATATAAAAGCTTTAATTACTATTAAAAATAAGGTAATATTTTTTACAATCTGTATTTTGGGGAATTTGGACCTCAATCAATTTTTATTAATAAAATATTTGGTACCTTCCACCCAAAATTTGGTCTGGCATATTTTCAGAGGAAAAGTCTTGTGGTGGCAGGAAATGTACAGACCTTGCCTAATCTGAAAAAATTCTAGTATATTTTCCCTTTAATTACTATTAAAAATAAGGTAATATTTTTTACAATCTGTATTTTGGGGAATTTGGACCTCAATCAATTTTTATTAATAAAATATTTGGTACCTTCCACCCAAAATTTGGTCTGGCATATTTTCAGAGGAAAAGTCTTGTGGTGGCAGGAAATGTACAGACCTTGCCTAATCTGAAAAAATTCTAGTATATTTTCCTGAGTAAATCCTTCTTGTCTCACAAAAGGAAGGAATATGAATGCTTTTATGGACAAAGAACAAATTGATCTCTTTTTGTCTATTTACTGGAATATAGACATTCACACAGAGAATGAAAATGACAACAATTGGTTTATAAGTGCTAGGACTCCTGATAGAGAAAATGCACTTGGAACGTGTTTGAGTACATTGCTGAAAGCTTGCATAGGAAAGAAGTACCATTAGCTCATGATATCCTAGAGTCATGGTTGAAACTATTCAAGTCACTTCATTAAATTTCTCTCTACAAAGATTTTGGAGTGGTTTATTGCATTTTCCAGACATAATTAGGCTATAGTGGGATTATAGCACCAAGTCATGGCCACTGCTGAGAGTTTCAGTTCACCAAGAGCACATATGAAAGTGTTCACCAAAAAGCAGTGTGCACCGGCTCTACCCAATGTCTGAGGCTTTAAATCATTATTTTGTTAGAAATTATTGCCTTTTCTATAGGATCCAGAGTTGGAACTCTAACAGTTCTCAAGCAGCAGAAAAGAATGCAAAAAGTCATGTGTTAAAGGAACTTTGGCAGTATCTGTAACAGAATTTCTCTTTGCTCAGTTCTACCAATGAAAGTGATGTTTTTGATCATATTGATGTAAATGTTAAACAAGCCAAGTCAAATATATTCTTGAATTGAATATTTTAAAAAATCTCAGAAGTCCTTGTGTCTCTGCTTCATGCTTATGAAACTCTGTGGCTGATGTCTCAGCCTCTACTACTGAAAATATTAAGATAGTCCCCCAGTGAAAATGAGAAAGGGAATATTAAGATAAACAGAGGCACAAATTAAAACGTATCATAGTAGCTTCCAAAGGCTCCAGAGCAGGCATTTATTCATTTATGTCTATATATTTAATTATGGAATGATATTTCAAACAAATTAAATGCAGCCAGAGTGTCAAACACTTTCTTCGTGTAAGTTTTGATTTTGTGATTCAGAAAATGCACAGAGTACTTTACATGCAATGAGAATTTTGTCATTGCTTTATTACAGTAAAAATAGTCTTGGACCACACCGCTCACTATGAACCTAAGTCCATGCAAAGAGAGTGGACTAACCATTGCCAACTATCTTTTATTTTCATTTCTTGAGAGTATGCCTCCCAAGGGATGGCTATTCAAGCCTTGATACAGTCTTACCAGAACATGTATAGTCACTGGAGCAGTAACACTTCTCTGCCTGAGAGGGTCAGGGAGAGCATCGTTGGCCATATCTGAAATTCTTATCGCCATCTTGTACTGTGACGCAGCTTCCCTGTCTAGTGAATCCAATAGCTTTATCACTCCTGACACAAAAATAATGGGGGAGCTGTTAATCCAGGATTTGTAAATAGTTTCAATTGATGCCAAGTTATACTGTTTATAAATTCTTCACTTTAACAAATGGAAATTACCTAATAAAGATCCATTTTTGTCGTATTTCCATACCCTAAACTGTATTTTCCACAGTTAAATCATGACAGATGTTAATTCATATATTAGTCACCTATTATACATTCTTAGGCACTTGGAAAAACACATGTGCAAAGGCTTTCTGAACTTCAATATATCAAAGATCAAAGCTTTAGTGTTTTCAGTGTAGCAACTAAGAATTTATGGATGCAGCTAACAAACCAAGGTGAGCACTACATAGTTCATGAGAATGCTTTCTATAAAAGATATGTCTATACCTGCAATTTCTATGTAAAATAGAGTCCAAATGAGTATGTAAGAGTTCTTCATTTTTATTATTTATTAATATCAGTAGTTTTGCATTACCTGTATCTGGTTCAATGTAAAATTTTGGAGGTATTCCCAAATTGCCTCCAATTATGGTATATTTGATATTGTTAAAAGGCCAGTCTGCATCTGTAAATGTAATTTTTCCAACTAGTGTATCAACTGGACTGTTTTCAAATATACTGAAGGTAAATGCCATCAGAGTTCCTACTGGATTCAGTTCATTTATGCGACTCACCCTTACGATGATTGTAATAATGGCTATGGAGAAAAAAAATGGATAAAGTGTAGCTAGCACAAACATATCCTCTTCAAGAATTATTTTCCTTGGTAATGAATACATGCTATATATTAAAATTTACATACATCAATTTTGTGAATATGTTTATGTTGATATGTTTCATGGGTAAATTACCATATTTTAGTTATGGAGTAAAATATCAGTGTAGCATGAAAAAGCTTTAACTGATATTTTAATTTTGCTAATTTAGAATAAGCTAAGTCTTTGAGAAATCTTTTTTGATAGTGTTTTTGAATTTCATACAATCAATTTTGATCCACCTGATTCTGCCTTCCAAGTGATAGGATTAAAGGCATGCACCACCATGCCCAGCTTGTTTTTAAGCCCACTGAGTCCAATTTGTGTTCCCAAATTCTCTTGGGTGTGGATCCATTCCCAGAGCATCACCAACATACCAGGGGGCACACCTTTAAAGAAAATTAACTCTGCCTTTCCCAGAAACTATCAGTTGCCCAAAGCTGCTCATCTAGGTATGGGGTTTCAGGCCAACCTCTCTTTCTCACATGTGGATGCTAGCTTTGAATCTTTAGATATGTGTGTTTTATCTGGAAAACCCATGGAGCTCAGGAAACTATTAGGGAACCAGGAAGGTGAGATAGAATGTGGTGATATACAAAAGCTGAAAGTGGAAATCTTTTAAATGCACAAAAATTACAGAAAATATCAACTTAAACATTGAATTTAAAAGACTGCAAAGAACCATATTAAACATTTGAGTAATATTATCTTAACCTAATTACATTTTTATTTTGGCTTCAGTTTTTAAATAGTAATACAAATGAACTAAAAAAAGTTGATTTAATGATAACAATTTATATGTTTTACTATAATAGATAATTAGAATGTTTTTAAATATGATCACATCTAAAATCTGGCTTTTAAGATAGCTATCTCATATAATTCAAACTATTTTTAATACATTGATTTAATAAATTCTTACTTGAGAGTACAGGAATTCCTTCATCAGATACTCTTATAAACAAGGTATATTTAAAGTTCATTCCTGAAAAAATAGCATTATCATAATCTAGTTGCATAGGTCCAATCTGTAATTTAAAAATAAAAGACCAGAGGATTTGTTTTGATTACATATCCATTTTTTTTTCATTTTCATGAATCCAAAGTCAAATTGGTAAAAAATAAAACATTACTGGTTATTTGGAGTATCATATGAAGCACAAATGCAAACCGTATATAATTTTATCTTAAATATTCACATTAAAAAGTAAAAACAAATAGAACTATTTTAATAAAGTATTTTATTTAGCTAAGTATATTACAAATACTATTATTCAAGATGTAATTCACATGGAAAATATTCGAGATGTTGATACTTGTTTGTTCATACTAATTGGGTGATATCCACTACTTATTTCTCAACCGCAGTGTAACTTAGACAAGTCACATTTCAGATGTTGAAAGGAATGTGCAGCCACTGGTTTCCCTGCAGCAGAAAAACTTTTTTAATATGTAAACTACAAACTTATTACAACATTAAGGCTGTTATTGCATAAGATGGAGGTTTGTGTTTATCATGTAATACATTAAAAGTATACCAGCAACAAAAAGAGTTTTCATATATTATGATTTTTCTCCCACAGTAATTCATTTGTCACAAGTTTCCTATTCTACACATTCTTTTTTATAAACATATTCAGAGGGTTCCTGACTTACTGTAGTATGACTCATGCATTCTACAGAAGCATTGTCCAGACGTTGAAGTCTGAACTCTTCCTGGTTTGTGATATCTTGTGAAGCTGCGCAGTGGCGGATACCCAAGCCTCCTTCACCCAAAGCATCACAAGGCTTTGAGAGCCACTTCTCCGCAGCATGCCATGGTACTTAAACTATGGTGATCCTTATGTTAAGGGAAATTATTTAGTGTATGATATTTTTCGATTTAGAGTTAATTTAATTGGAACATTGTATAGTTATAAATTGAGGAGCATCTGAAATTTAAGATTCATGAAGTCTGATCTGCAGCCTCCAAATCAGGCAAGCGCAAGAGTTAAGTTCAACTCTGAGTAAGGTCAAGCTTCTCCTATTTTTGCTCTTTGGCTTCAGTTTCTTGGCGTGGGAGCGGGGAGGGGAGACTGTGCAGGAAAGACATGATGTTGCCAGGATATTTAATAATGCAAATGTAAGGGCAATCTAAGAGTCTTCTGCTCACTTCTCATTCATGCATAATCACACAGCCCTCACAGTGCTCAGACCCTTCACTGAATGTGATACCGTCCGAAGGAATAAGTGCAGATTGCTGCCCGACTCTCCAGCTTATCTGAGATCCCTGCCTACCTTAGTCATGTCCACATTAATAATTCTTCCCAACAGTAAACGTTTGTTAGTCAGAGAAGTTTGTGTAGCAATTGGGGGATAAACTGATAAAGTTTTGCTTTTCAAAAATTCTGAGGTGTTCTAAGACTGACAGAAATGATGGGCTATAACTTTGGACAAAAGGAATTAATAAAACCATCATTTCCTTCAAACCACAAAAGTAATTCTTTTGCATTTAGAAAAATTTTAAATTGAAAGACCATTTGTTAATGCTTCTTAAAAATATATGGAAACATGGGGCTAGAGATATGGCTCAACATTTAAGAGAAATGCCTACCCTTCCAGAGGACCAGGGTTTGGTTTCCAGCACCGGCATGGGAACCCACCTGTCTGCAACTCCAGTTCCCGGGAATCTGATGCCCTCTTCTGGCCTCTATAGGCATTACAAGACATGGGTGCATTTGCATACACCCATGTGCATTAAAAATCAAATAAATGAATTAAAATGTAATATATGGAAACAAACCCAGTATGGTGATACATGCTTCTGATTCAGCACTTAGGAGGCAGGGACAAAATGTTTGTGAGATTGAGATCAGCCTCATCTACATAACAAGTTCCAGACCAACTGGTGCTACAGGGATATGCTGTCTCAAAAAACAAACAAGCAAACTAAAAACTAAAATATACGGAAACAGCTTAGATGTAGATCAACTGATGAATGAATAATAAAAATTTGGCACATTTACACAATTGAATATTATTGGTTTCTTAAGAAAAACAAAACTATGAAATTCACAGGTAAATTGATGGACCTGGACACAGTTATTCTGAGTGACATAGTCCGGAGCCAGAAAGACAAATTTCAGATATTTTCTCTCAGTTTTAGCTGTTATCTTTGAATATAGATATGTGTGTATCATTTGAAATATCCATAGAGGTATAAAGCGATAAAGTGGTATAGTGGGGCAGGAAGGGTTAATGGGGTGGTGAATGGGAGGTTAGGTAGAGAGGGAATATGGGGAGAGGTAACTAATATTAAAGCTATTTTTTGAAAAGCATATACAAACCCACTACTGTAGAAGCTTCCTAAAATATATAAATGTACATATGTAAAAGTGGTTTAAATGGAGTTACCCTGTAATAGGATGACAATGTCTCTATTAGACACCACAGGCTAACAAGTAAAGAGCCCTGTCAGTGCCAGGAATAGGTTAACCCTTTTAGAGTTGTGGGTCAGTGAGGGTCCATAGACACCCCCAAACATTGCAGAATACTGCCACTGCTTTTGGTTACCCTTCAGAATAGGACAGTAAGACAGTAAGACCCTGTTGTTGAAGACACCACATACTTGAGTCATAGAGCATGGAAAAATTAAGCAGGTAAATACACACCTGAAAGCTCTATCCCTACTGGTTAGGTTCCATAGTGCTAGAAAGTGCTCTGCACAGTGCCAGAGTAGAAAAGTAACCATTAGTCTTACCCAGATGTGATCCCTATAAGCTACAAGAACAACCAGTCTATCATGATATGCACACTGGTGCAACAATGGTACAAATGTCATGTGAGTTCCAGGACAGATGGGGCTACTGGGAGACTCTGTCCAGAAAAACCCAAATAATAATAATAATAACAATAATAATAATATAATAGGATTAATTGCTAATACATAATAGGAAAATATTTAGATCAATACCCATTAAAGAGAAATAACCTAATAAATTATATGAAAATAAATGTTGAATTAAAGAAATATTCAATTGTTTTTACATTCTTTGTAAATTAAAAAGACTACAAGTGGAATAATTTGGATTAATTAAATGGTTATTAATCCTTAAGTATTAAAATTATTTCTCAATTAAGATAGATTTAAAGTTATCATCTACCAGCCTACTAAAGCTTATTACTTCTGTACTACTACTCATCAATGCCAAGTTTTTCATTAGCTAACTGTTCAGATGAACTGCTTCTTGTCATCATGTTGAACACAATTCCTAATGTCACTATGCCTGATGTTTTTGAGTTTATGAATATAGCAACAAGTAGCTTGACCTAGATCTCAAAATGTGCTAGAAATATTGGTAAAAAGTTTGATCTATTACATAGCAACAAAGAATAAAAGTTTATTATAATTATAGTCCATATTCAAAAGTTATTTAATACATTTATTACAGGTAATTTCAACACATTCCAAAGGAATACATAGTGTTTTATCCTAGAACTATTTGTTCTAAGAAATTCATAACTTTCTTAGTTCAGTTCTCAAGATCAAAATTACATTCCATCATTCATCTCAAAGCAAGTGAAGCTGTTGGTAATTTAAGGTTCATTTAAAAATCCAGGAACAAATTCTGCCATGAGCTATTTGAACTACTGTAGTTTATTAAGAATTTTATATTAATAAAAACCAAACATTTTTCTATCTGGGGTTAATCATGGGACCACATTCAGAGAGTGACTTTGCAATACTTACTTTCAGTTCATTGTTTGTAAGAGTAAAGGTTCTGTTTGAAAAAGTGTCCTTAATCAAATGATAAGTTATATTGTTATTGGGTGCAGTTCCATCCTTATCTGTGCATGCTAGGGAGACTAAAAGAGTTTCAACTGGGATGTTTTCAGGAAGTTCAATTCTATAATGAGTAAAATATGAGAAAAAGTGTTATATTAATCTTAGTTTAAGTAGATGAGTACATTAAATATCAATGATTATTTAAAACATGCTCACATATTAAGCATTTTGTCAATAAGAAAATAACAGTACTCAAAAATGCATAAGAAATTATTTAGCATCCTTGATAATGCCAAACAGAATTGAACTGCTATTCTGCTGGATTTGTGAACAGCAAACTTAGCAATAACAAAACTATTATTGACCAAATAATTTTTCTTTAGGTTCATATCTTTATATTTACAGATCCTAAAGCTCTATGTAATCTGAAATGGCCATTCTTGTTTCTTTAAGCAGATTGTATATCATTCTCTCCATCTTAAAAATAAGGAACATAAAAAAAATCAACTATTAAAGATACTTAACAGAATCAAGGGCTATAGACTTAGCGTATTCGTTACTTTCCTTGTTGACACCACAGAATACTTGACAGGAAGCATCTTAATGTAGGAAGTTTGATTTTGGCTTCAGTTCAAGGAAATACAACCCATTGTGGCAGGAAAAATGTGCCAGCAGGAGCATGGATCATCTGGCTGCATTCAATCTGCAGTCAGTAAGGGCAGTGAAAGCTAGTGCTCAGCTCATTCTCTCCTTTTTACTTATTCCAAGATCCTGATCTATGAAATTGTGCCGCTCACTTTTGGGATGGAGAAGTGGCTCTTCCCACATAAGTTGACCCAAACTAGAAATTGTCTCACAGACATACCCAGTGGCTTGTTCCTAGGTGATTCTAAATACTATCAAGTTCACAATACTACCAATCCTATTTACCAATATTCACATTTCCACTGCATAGCCCAAATTCCTTCAAATGCCACACTTGGTTTTGGGGAGGTGTACTGGCAAATGAAATACAAAGAGAAAGGCAAGACATTCCTTCCTGGTAAGTAAGAGGATCAGAATGTGGAGAAGGATGCAGATGTGTGTCTCTCTTCTCTCCTTGGGTTTAGAAGCAAAAGGTAACAGAATGAAAATGGTAGACACCTGAGTAAACTAGCATCCCAGAGTCAATATATGGGCTCTATAGAGTAGCTGACCTTCATTGAGCTCATCAGAGGCAAAGAAATGCCCATTAGTTTTAGCCAAGGATACATAATTTGAAGTAATTCAGCAGTAAGTTTTTTGGTTAATGCAAACAATTATAATGGTGTTTTCCCTAAGTTTTAAGAAGTTGTTTCTAGATGTTTTTAACGGCTGTTGAAAACACCTTAGGATTTAATATAATGAAATAAGAGGGCTGGAGAGATGGCTCAGCAGTTAAGAGCACATACTGCTCTTGCAGAGAACCCAGGTTCGGTTGCCAGGACCCATATCAGATGACGCAACGGCCTGTAACTCCAGCTCCAGGAAATCCAACACCCTCATCCAGCATCTTCAAACACCTACACACACACACACACACACACACACACACACACACACACACAATTTAACATAAGATACACTCTTTTAAAATGAAATCAAGATGAAATGTCTATAGAGATCACCGTTGTACACAGAGCAAACACACACAATTTAAGTTAAGATAAACTCTTTTAAAATGAAATCAAGATGAAATGTCTATTGAGAGCAACCTGGGCTACATAGCAATACCCTGTCACAAACAGACAACTGAAAAATTGAATCTTGAACTACTTCTAGTGTACAAGTTGGAATACAGAATAATCTTGCTACTAAAGACAATGAGTAGCTTAAAAGTACAGGAAATGTGTTGCTATCCCACCACTTTAGGAGGTTTCTTGCAGTCACTTTGTACATAGTATCCTCCATGAGAAAGTTTTCAGAGTTTTTGTGAAACTTCGTTTAAACCCTGAATGAGAATATCAATGTTGTTGTTTATGATTATCTAAGCTTCGCATAAGATATTCAAGACCTTTGAGGGCAAAGTTCATACATTTTACATTTATCACTGTTTCTAGCATGAATTAACTAAATTGTGTTAACTAATTCAAAGAATGGATAGAATAATGGAGCCATAAAGAATGTTTTCCTTTCACATGCATTTGAATATTATATTAGAGCTAGACTCATTGTATAAAATAGTTTTAAAACAAAATGTTTTGTAATTAAAATTAACGAACGGTCAAACCTGTTCTGTCTAAGCTGAATGCTTAGAAAGAGAATGATGTTTTTATCAATCTGGACACCTGTTTCTTCAAACTTTGCCCTTTATTTCCAGTGTAAACTTTCAAAAATCCTTTCTTTTGCTTTGATAAAATACATCGTGTATTTTCTATTGTGTACTCAGGCTACTGCAAAATGGCACTCCAAAAGCTTTTATTCTTTATAACTGCAACTTAGTACCCACTAATCTACCTTTCTTATGTCTCCCTCTCTCTAATGTCCCCAGCCTTTAGTAACCATCCTTCAACTAGTCACATCTCTGAGAGCATAAGCATTGGTTTTTATAGCATGACAGAGAAAAAGTCACTAGTTTTATATGGAGGTGTGTATTACATTCTGTTATTACAAAGTGATAAAAATATGCCTGCATTTTTTTTTATTTGTAGTGTTAAGTGAAAGATGAGTTGCTCAAGGGAAAAATACTCTAAGACTTTTGTAAGGCACTATAAGATATTACTTCAACAAAGTGAAAATTTCAGTTTATCAGGGGTATCAGTTGCTCAGCATACAGGACTGTTTAAATTCTTCTGGAAATGACTGGCAGTCTGCCTATCTACATGATCTTTGGATGCTGTGAGCACAAGTTTTTGAGGATTTCCTTTAGTTGTCTGTGTACAGCTTGAACATTCTTTATCTGTCATCTTGTTGATACTCTAAACATGTCAGATTTGGGATCATTTCAGTTTTGCTTTTTAAATATTTGAACAAAAATGCAGCAAGTCAACTTGTCCTGGGAAGTCAAAAGAAAAGTTTGAGATTAAAGCCAGGGAAGAATGAAAGCTTCTGTGAGTGCCGTCAATGATCGATGCACACCCACTCTTTTCCGTTCTGTCTTCTCGATGTGAAAACCTGGCGACTAAACAACTGTTCATATAACTTACACATAAATATCCTGTGAGCATCGTGGTGGGTTGTCATTTACATCTTGTAGAATCACTGTGAATGTCCCAGTTGTTGAATGTGTTCGTTCATTGTCATAAATTCTAAAATGTAATACCCAAGATTTAGGGGTTGCTTCATCTTCGTAGTCCAAAGGGTATGCAACAGTGATTTCTCCTGAATCTAAGAAGAAGGCCAATGAAAATGCATTCAGGATCCACAAGATAAATAATCTATGCATTAATGTCAGTAATAGAATAATCTTAGAGATAAAATACATCTCACTTGAGGAAGCTCATAAGCTAGCCACAGTTGTTCACCTATGAAAAATGGGTGTTAAACAAATTACAGGAGCAGTCTCCAATATTACAAAGTCCCCCTCATGGGAAAGCCGTGGCAGCTGATGTGGCGAACACACACTGAAGCTTAGGCTGAGTATGGAAAAATGAACACAGAACAGGCAGGGATAGGGTTGGGGCAAGTTGGGGGCAGCAAATTAGAGAGGGGAAGAGGTTGGGATGGCATGCAGAGAAAAAGAAGATAGAAGGAAATGGACATTTTAAAGGGAAGTAGTCCCTTAAGTAATTTTGTTGTATCTATATTTGCAGAGCATGAAACCTTTAGTAACAATATACTCTGCTTTATAAACTATAGATGCATACGTGACTAATGTTTACCATCACTATGTTAATATTCTCCTAGGTGTTTTATTTTTATTGTCAAGGATGCAGTCCAGTGCATTTCTCATGAAAAATTGCAGGAACAGTATTTATCGTTGACCTCTCTCCAAAATGTCTGTTCTGTTGTACCTGTGGATTCATTTAGCTGGATATGCAGCTTTTAAAAATATTCATATTCCTCATTTTAATTATGTGTATGGGGGGAGGGTATGTGCATGTGAGTACGAGTGACTGCAGGGGCCAGAAGAGGGCATGGAATCCTCTAGAGCTGGAGTCAAAAGTGGTTGTGAGCTGCCTAACATGGATGCCGAGGACAGACCTCAGGAAACAACAGTATGTACTCTGAACCCCTGAGTCACATCTCCAGACCCTGGATATAAAAATAGCTTTGACTTCTCGTTTTGTGTTTCTTAAATATGTTACTTGTTTAACTTATATAATAGGTGCTGGATAAATGTCTGTTTACAACTTGATTTCCACCCTTGCAATAAATTAGACCTTTTATCTAAATGCTTAATTTTTTCTTAAAGTAATATCCAATAGTTTGCTAGAAAGTTTCAGCTTTAGTCCCTCTTTATTGATTTCTCTCCAAGGTCAAAAACATTCTAGGTTCTTGTGTTTTATTACAGGGCTATTTTCTTGAATGACATTTTTAAAGACCTAATAGTTATCTTCCTTCCTTCCTCAGGAATTATCATTCAGAATGTCTTCTCTGCCTTTCTTTAATAACCATCATCTCTTTCCCCTTTCATATATAATTTTATGGTTATTATATTTGTAAATAATCACAACTTTGTGAAAAATAATCTTTTCCTGAACAGCATGAGAGTAAGCTGATGACATAACCATTCCCTTTGTCTCAAATCTGCATTTTCCAAAGGTATTCTCCAACACAGTGTAATGCAAATATCAGCATCATGAAGTTTATGCCAATATAAAAGTCTTATTTAAGCTTCACTGTCTCGATATTTTTTATAGAAAAACATCTTGTTCAAAAATTCCATATTGTCATGTCTCTTTAGTCTCCCTCAATCTAAAGTAGTTATCCAATCTTCCCTTGAGTTTTTAAAATGACTTTTTTGAGAATTAAAAACTAGCAGTATCAGAGAATTCCCTCAAATTGGATCAGGTTGTTGTTTGCTTAACAGACTCAAATTATGCAGTCTTGATTAACTTTCACAGAAGTCATACTACATTCCTATTACATGCTATCAATTTGTCTCATTACTGAGTTTGTCCAATTAAATTACTTGACTGAGCAAATGCCTGCCAATTTACTACACACCAAAAGTACTATTTCACCCTCTGTGCAAACAATTCCATGGAGAGGTATTTTGAGACTATGAAAACATCCTTTGCTTCATCAAACTCAATTTCGCTATGTATTTATGTCTCTATGGCTGGATTTATTTGGTGGATTATAATCTATGACTAGATTTTTTGGCCTTTTAATTAGCATATAGTGTTTCTCATTTTTATGCAGCACAGTATGATAATCTGTTATACATGACTCTGTGCTGTGACCAAATTGGGGTAATATGCACTATTACATTTTTCTTTGTTTTTTATGATCAGATATTACTTTTTCTGCATTTTCATTGAATTTGTGATTATCATACAGTACAGTTTAATGGCATTTAAATCTGCTCCCTCTCGCCACCTTCCCCCACTGTCCCCCATTCAATTTAATGAACTATTTTATTTATATAATGGGGCCTATAGAGCCTGATTTGTGTCCCCATATGTCCTTCAGTGTGGGTGTATCCACTGGGCACACCAAGAGTCCCAACAATGTGAGACACTGTCTTTCCTCCTCCCAGCATCCATCAATGGACAAATTTCCTTAGATTGGGTTGGGATTTCTTACTTACTTCCCCATGTCTATGTTGGGATTTTGTCTGGTTTGAATTTCCATAGGACTTGTACATGCTGTCACTATTGCTGGGAGTTCATATGAATACCTGACCAGCTGTCTGGGAGATTCTGTTTCCTTGTGATCATCTACCCCCTCTGGCTCTTACAATCTTTCGGCCTCCTCTTCAGCATTGATCCCTAAGCCTTGGGAGGCAGAGGTCCAAATTAATTGTCCTATTCATGGATAAGCACTCTCCCTGTTGTTCTCTACACATTGGCTACTCTGTGTTAATCACCATTTTGCTGCCTAAGGAAACTGCTCTGGCGAGGTAAGAGAAGCATTCATCCTGAGTGTAGCTAGCATGCAAGATTTTATGTTTGTGTGTGTGCACAAAAATGTAGTTAGTTCCATTTGTATTTATTGGTGTAAGTATACACACAAATGTGAAAAAAATGTAATGAGAAACATAAAATTGTTCTGATTCTTTTCTTTGACAGGGTTTCTCTGTTTCTCTGTTGTCTCAGCTGGCCTGGAACATGCTATGTAGACCAGGCTGGTCCTGATCTCACAAATGCCTGTTGCTGCCTTTGCCTCTGCCTCTGCCTCTGCCTCTGTTCTATTCATGTGACAGAAAGCATACTCCATCTTAAAAAGAGGAGAGATAAATCTTTCTTCCTTTTTCTTTTCTAAATTGTTAGAGACCTAGCTTCTTAACCTCTGGCCATGCAGGATGTACTTAAATTTACAAATATCAAAATCAATCTGATTCAAAATTTGCAGTGTTGTAGAAATTCACTTTCTGAGTTTGGGTAAATTAAAACTCATCTCTTCAGGCTGCAGAGTTGAGTAACTCAATGATAGAACATTTGTCTAACGTGGAAAAGGGCCTGAGTTTAATCCCCTCCAGGGCAAGGCTGTGAAAGATCAAAATTTCTTAAGAGTATATGCTAGGATGGGGGTTAGTACAGTAAAAGTCCAAAGTGGTTACTACATGTGCAAAGTACATGTGAGGATGTATAATACAAGATAAATGTTCAAATTATGATAACTAATATTTTTATTTCCATTGTAAATTTGTATCTACATTTCCAGAGAAAATTTGTGAATATGAATTGTCCAAGAGTCTCCCTGAGCAGACAGAAACTATAAAACATTTCTACACTTTGAAGAAGAGAGGGAAGAAATTTTTCTTTCATAAAAGTATTGTAGGTACATTTCTACATATTTTAAATATCATTTCATTTTAATATAATGAATTTTAGGGATTATTTTAATTAATGAAAATATTTTATGATTTCTGAAATGATTAGTCACAAAAGTTATTATACCTTTATTTATAGCAAATTCTTTTTGAGTACCTATAAATTCATAGTGTACTCTATCCCCTGTGTCTCTGTCTGTTGCTGTGAACTGGGCCAACTTTGTTCCAACAGGCAAATTTTCATTAATATTTATAGGTGCATCTGGCATGTATCTGTAGGACAAAGGAGAATATTTTATCACTTGGTGTAAACAAATGTCTCTTTTCAGCTATGTCACATAGAAAATATTTGAAATTTCATATGATGTATATTTTGTAACAATATAGGGCCACTTGACTTAAATAATTTGTAAATTATTATATATGCATTATATATTGTTTATATAATAAAAACATGAATTTACTTGCTTTTTATCCATTCTCTTTCTTCAGTCTTTCAAGTGACTGAGAAATAATACTTTATTCCTGATAAGGAAGTATTACAAACACTCCAGCAATCACTTTTCATTCTGTATGTATTTGGAAATATATCCATGTCAACTAGCATTTTTGCTCCAATTCTCTTGAGTGGTTAGTTACATTGATTTTACAACATGAGTATATCAATGTGCACTTTCTATAATATTTTCCTTACTAACAATAAACAACAGAAAATGGGAATTCACTGCCATGAAAAAATAATTCTTTTCTGCACTTCCAGGAGCAAAATACAAATAAAGTTGATTTCAAATGCATGCATAAAGAGCAATAACCCCAACTCACAGAACTTTGCTTTCCAGATCACTTTGAATATTCTAAGAAAATTTATAATGGAAATAGTAATAAAATAGTGATTTTTACTCTGCTACAAAAAATTCCAGTAGTTAAATTTTAGCATTTAAATGTTTAGATTATTCATTGCTTACGTCAGAACAGGACTCTCATCGTTAACATCCTGGATGTTTATAGTGATGGTGCCAACGCATGACTCCAGGGACAGGTTGTCCCTACTTCTCACAGCAATCACTAACTGAAAATGCTAAGAAAAGGGGGAGAAAAGACAGAATGCTTCTCTTTCAGTGATTCACAAATAAAATTTCCCTATGCATAAAATAATGTTTTCAAATCAAACAAAGAAGTATTTTAAATATCTGGAAATATAAACTTAGACCACTCCAAAGTATCTCAATATCATTTGCTGAAAGACTGGTGTCCTTTTTCCACATTTTTGTAATCAATACTAACTGCCAATTGTTAATAGATTTTGAGACTTTTAAACATCAGTTTGTTACATTTTAGTCAACATGTCAAAATATAATTTTCATTTAAAACATTTTAAATCTGATTAAAATGACATATCAAAATAAAATGGTAACTTAAATTGCATTGCTTAAGGAAAAATCTTAAGACTGCACTTTTAGAAAATATTGAAAATATTTCAGAAATGTAAAATTTCATTGAAATGTTTTCTAGCAAAAATTCAAAACATGCACTGACTCCAATGACAGTGTCTCTTATTGAATCCTCTACTTTTGGAATATATCTAAGAAGTTAGCAGACATTGATGCTTGAAATGTACTAAAATTCATCATAAACAACAACAGATTTCCATTTAAGTAAACTTTTAATCAGAGAACATATTTCAACTACTTAGAAATAAAATAGAAAGTATATAGAATAGGGGAGAAAAAATATATGATGGTCAGGTAAAAAATAAGAGAAAAATATAATATATAGTAAGAGTGAAAGCATTTGACAAAGAAAAGATATTAATTTAAAAAGTATTTTATTTATTTATTTTTTATGTGTATGGGTGTTATGCCTCCATGTAGGTAAGTGCATACATGTCATGAAATGCCTACAGAGGCAGAAGAGACTGTCAGATCCCCTGGAACTGGAGTTATGAACAGCTGTTAGCTGCCATGTGGGTGCTGGGATTCGAACTCAGGTCTTCTGCAAGAACAGTCAGTGTTCTTAACCACTGAGCCATCATCTCTCCAGCCCCATGATGTTAAACTTTTTAAACAACTAATCTTCTGCTCATATTTTGCATATTAAGAAAGCATTTAAAACAGGTAGCAAGAGTTTATGCTCCAATTAAATGTAACTTTCAGAATCCTTATCGTTTGATGAAATTGGCAATGCACTAGAAATAAAAAGTAAATCATGAATACCTTTATCATGGTGGACATCATAGTCTAATGGAGAAGACTGTTTTATAAACAAAAGGAAGACGACAGTGTGTGGAGTGATGGTCTACTTATAAATCGTATAGGTATATGGTGTAAAACAATGAAGTGGAGGGAAGTTACAGAGATGGGGGGGTGAGAGGAGGCAGGGAAAAGGAAAGATATTATTATTTAGTTTGAAGTGCCTGCCAAAGGTAAGCTCCTTTTGGTGTATGTTTCTATGACATTGCCGAAGTAGATTTCTTTTAAAAATGCTTTCTGGATTTAAATTTTTTTATGTGTATGATTGTTTTGCCTGCATGTATGTAAGTGCACCCTGTGTGTGCAATGCTGTAAAGTCCATAAGAGGGCAACAGATCCCCCTGGAAATGGAGTTACAGACAGTAGTGAGCCTCCATGTGGGTGCTGGGAATTGAATCCAGGTCCTTTGGAAGGGCAGCCAGTGCTGTTAAGCCATCTTTGCAGCCCTCCAAATAGGCTTCTTAAATGACTAGTCCTTCTAAATGAGCTCACATTCTAAAAATAGACAAATAAATGAAAATATAAATTACCATGAGCTTTGAATGACCAAGAATGGATGAACATAAATTCAAAGATAGAAATAAGTTACCAGTAAATTGAATTTAGCAACATATATTGTAAATTGTCTTATATAGTTTGGTTTCTCACCAGAATATAAGGATGGGATAATAAAAGAAAAATAGACTAAATAAACACAGAATATTAATAGATTAAGGTAAAAAGAAGCATTTAATCATCAAATAGATGGAGGAGAAACTCAAAAGAATCAAATCAAGTTTCATTAAATATCTTATACTAAGAACAAAACAAATTTAAAGACCATTTACTAAAAAATTTAGAACAACAAATATTACTCTTTTTGATTTTTATTTTATGTATATGAGTATATTGCCTGTATGTAGGTAGGTGCACCCAAGTCATGCAATGTCCATGGACAGCAGAAGAGAGCATTGGATTCCCTGGAGCTAGAGCCACCAACAGTTTTTAGCCTCCATGTGGGTGCTAGGACTCAAACCCTGGTCCTCTGAAAGAGCAGCCAGTGCTCTTAACCACTGATCCACCTCTCCAGTCCTAGAAATACTATTCTTGATTGAATATCAAAATACTATCTTTTTGAATATTTTTATTGATTTTTTGTGTATTTCATATACAACATCTTAATAGTCTTTATACCCCCTTTGCCACTGGCACTCTCCTATGGATTTCATACATTCCTACTTTTACATTAAGGCCTAGTTACCCGTCCAGTTATTGTCCACAGATGTCCGTCAGTGCAAGTTCATCCAAGGGGGTCTACTCAGCCTATCTTGGGCACTCTGTTAAAGATGACCAGCTTTTCATCACTCAGCAGTCAGTAATCAGCTGCCCGATACTCTTCCACTAAGTTAGGGGCCTGCTGCCCATTTTCACAGTTCTATGCTGGGATTTTGTCTGATGAAGACTGAATAAATCTTGTGCATGCTGTCAGCATGGCTGTAAATTCATATGAGCAAGGGTCCCAGGAGACTGGAAGAATTTATTTCCATATGGTCATGTTCATCCTCCCCTGGCTCTTACAATCTTTCCACCCCTCTTCCACAATGGTGCCTGAACCATGGGTAGGTGAAGTTTAATATAGGAGTCCTGTCAAAGGACCCATCTGCAGACTCTTATTCCCTGTGCTTTGGCCATTGTGGCCCTTTTTGTTCATCACCAGCTGTTGCATGAGGGAGCATCTTTGATGGGAGTTCAGAGATGCCTTAGTGTTCTTTTTCCCCCTTGTTCCACTATGTTCCATGACTCAGTACTATCTTTTCAATCATGGCAAGATGAATGTTCCTCCTAGCATTTGTTATTCATGGAAATGTTCTTCTGGAAGTCCTTACCAGAAAAAAATAATCATATAAAGATAAATCAGAAGAAGTATCAGAGAAACAGCTATCAGTCTCAATGAATAAATCCTATACACAAAAAATGAAAAATCACCAAAAGATTTATTAAAGTTACTCTTTTCAAGATACAAAAATCATTTGTTTCCTATGTAACAATGGAGAAAATGAGAAGTGAATATTTAGGGATAAAGCACAGGAGGTCTAGAAACTATATAAACAATGTTAAAGGTCTTAATGGAAGAAAAGGCATGTCATTGAAAGACTTATTGAGTAAGTAAATTAGTGAAGTTAATAGATGATAGCTGTGCCAATTCTTCAAGATTAATTTGAAAATTATATCAGGGTGGTTACATACCTTTAACCCCAGCACTTGGCAGGCAGAGATAGGTGGATCTCTATGAGATCAAGGTCAGCCTGTTCTACCTAGAGAATTCCAGGCCAGCTGAAGCTACAGGGAGACCATCTTTAAAACAAAAATTAAACACAGCTAAAAAAAAATCAATGAGAATTTTTCTGCCTTAAAGTTACTCTTGAACATTGTATAAGTAATAGAGGACTGGGAAGATTGAAGGCAATTGTTAAGGAAAACAAAGGAGAACAGCAAGCAAGGTAGACTGAGGAGACAGAATCCTCTCTGAGAAATGAGCTGCTGTGTTGTTGTTGTTTTGTTATTTTCTTTAATTTTTACATGGTGAGAAAACTCTTTTCTATTTTAGAAAATGATGACCGAGGTAAACAGTTGTTTATAAAACTAAAATTTCTACTAGTCTATAATTGGAAGCACTGAGAAATGTTTAAATAAACTGGAAAACATTTGAAGTTGAATTGGCCACCCTTCCCAGATAATTTGATAGGAAAAAATGGAATTGTTATCTTTTCCAAATATGTATAATTTGAAATTTGACTGAGGAAAGAAAAGAGGCCAGGTCTCCACAATCAAGTTAAGCCAAAGACAAGAATAACTCACCAAGTAATTCAGGACTGAGTTAGCTATAACCTTATTCAATTTCCTAGAACACTAAGTTCTAGGCCTTTGAAGAGAACCAAGCCCTTGTCCACATCTCGTACATAACCATTAGAACGCAGTATCTCAATATTGTAAGAAAAAGATAAAATGAAACAAATAAACTTCTTAATGTTTTCTAATGAATTTCTATTGATATGGATAAGCTGGAAAAAATTGGTAACTTTATTTCAATTTAGGTAACTTTTAATTTTTTTAATTAAATACTATATAAAGGCATGGTATTTTAATGCCCTGATTAGTCTCACCTTGGGATTTGTTTCATAGTCCAAAAGAGGCTCGACTGTTTTAGAAATAACACCCGTATGAGAATCCAAAGCAAAGTAGGCAGTGGCATTAGCTGAAGAATTTAATATTAAAAACTAGAAAAAAAAAACATGAACATGGTTGATATATTATTATAAAAGTGTGAATTGTGAATTGACATTTTTGATGCAATTATTTGGCAAAAGCTATAACAAGCTTAATTTGGTGAAGACAGTGCTTTTATTTCCAGAGTTCAAAAAGAATTTAAGCATTCTTTCATGTTTTCAGTTGATCTTTTTCCATTGTTTTTTTTGTTTTGTTTTTTTGTTTTTTTTTTTTTTGTACTGAAGTATTAGGGCAATTTTGGTAAATAGCTTTCATTTGTTTTATAATTAGGTTACTTTCGAGTGTTACATTTACAGCCTTTTTTCAATATAGAATCTCATTCCCTTTCATACACTCAGGAAATGTGTCTAAAGAGGTGCAGGTAACAAACGATTTGAAAGAAACCATTTGTGATTTTCTGCATGAAAACATAAAATAAAATAATGCTTTGGATAAATAGGCTACTTTTACAGGCAATGGCACATTCTTCTCCGCTGTTGTCAATCATACTTATAATGGGGTAACAGGACTCCGGCTCAAGATAAATACTACAGGCCTTGAAAAAAACATCATAAAGAGGATAAAGTGTTTGTTTTTAAAGTGCATATTGATTGCAGCTGAAATCAAACAATAAATCCTTGGATGTATGATGTGCAATGCCATTTCAAAACACTCATGACAGCCGTTTCGATGGGCATATTCATTTTCTTGTATTTATCCGTTTGTGAACAATCAAAACTGGCTTACCATAAACTAAAATCCACTAAATATTTTTATGGGGGGACCTCTTTTGTTTCTTCCATTATGATTATTTTGGATTCATTAAGAGTTATCACTTTCTAATTTTTTTGTTTTGCTTTTGTTTCCTGATGACATTTATAATAAAATTCAAACATTGTAATAATTTTTACTTATGGAAAATATACATGTATACACTAAATTTATAGAGAGGCTATTTGTCTATACGTATATAAATATATATGCCCACAACCTCAAACACACAAGCCCCATGCTCTGACCCTCTTCCCTCCAGGATACAACCCACACTGTCCCAAGTGGGACTTTTGAGCCTGGTGGCAGGAATTAGTTTTCCTGTGTAGTTTTCTATCCTTGGTCCAAAAAAACCCATAAGGACAAAAAATATTACTTAGTGCACTAATCTGTGCCTCATAATCAAGTCAGCATAAAAATTATATAAAGACTAAATTCTCCTGAGAAATGTTCTCCCAAACTTTGGGGCTGAAACTATATTCTCAGTTTTGTTTATAAGTCAGTTGCTACAAGCATGAGCAAATAGAAATATTTTGTCTGTTCTCTGGGGAATTTGACTGAGTCATCAAGGTTAGTGTAGACTATCCCAATCGATTAATGTGATTTATAATGCATAATGAATTAACAAAATTTGTTTCTTAGAAATACAATTACATTATAGGTTATATTATACCATAAATTTTCTAGAAAATAGAATATGAATGGATTTTCAATCTATTTACTTGTTAAGTGCTAATATTCTGTTCTTCTCAAATTATTGCTGAAACCTAAGTAATATGAAAATCTAAAATATCTTTTATGGGAATTATGTGTGTACTAAGGAAAATATGTCTAAATGGGATGAATCAAAAGAAATGAATAACGGAAAGAACAGTCCAGTAGAGTGCGTGAACACCATCAGATAAGGATGAGAGCTGTAAGCTCTAGGTTTACAGTAGGTTTGCAGGCCATTTTAGGTCTTTTACTTTTGTTTTCTTCTTTATCTTTTTTATTCTATGTTATGATATTCAAAAGCTTAAATTCCTTCTATTGCTTCAGTAAGCTTTGTAAGATACAAAGACTAGTTTAATTAAAACCTGAGGAAGTGATTTTTGCTCATTGAAAACTGATCATTGCACTCTGTTTCCTAAATCTTGCAGAAAACTTAAATGATAATTAAAAACTTACTTCAACTTCTTGCCCCAGGTCTGGATCTCTTGAAAGAATTGCATATATAAAAGCAGATGCAGGAAGGTTTTCAGGAACAGACACTGAAACACCTACACAATTATACAAATCAGCGGTAACTGAAGAGTCACATCCTTCTGCCCCCTCTTGCTTCCCATTGCTTCTGTGAGTCATCAGCCTGTAACTATCTTTGAGTAATTTTCTTAATGGTGCTTGTTTTAGAAGAAAGAAACTTCAAATATTTATTCACAACAGCATCAATATTTATCTTTTACTTTAATTTTAATGACGTCTTGTGGGGGAGCATATGTGTTGTGCTGGTCTATTCACCCATGAAGACACATATGGAGACCTGAGGTTAATGTTGATGATTTCTTTGAACACTTCTTTACCTTATTTTTGTGACAAGTTCTATCACTTATCCCAGAACTTACAATTTCAGATTTACTGCCTAGGCAGCAAGCCCCTGGGATCTCAGCTTAGCTCTCCAGTACTGGAGTTGTTGGTACACATTGCCAAACCCAGCTTTTATGTATATGCCAGGGACATAACTCAGGTCTTTACACTTGTAGAGCAAGCACCTAACCCACTGACCATTGTCCCAATTCAATTTACATATTTGGAATGAGATCTCAGTGTGCTTTCCAGCCTGCTGTCCAATGAAATCTTCCTGCCTTAACCTCCAGAGTAGCTTGGACTCTAATCATCAACTACCCAGCCCAACTACCTTGCTTTTTAAAAATTACAACTTAAAACAGCCAGAGTAGCTTGGACTTTTATTTCTAAATGCAGAATCTTTGTTTATATGAGGAATAGGATACTCAGTATCTAAGCATCATTTGTCACTAGTATATTTCAGCTTGGATTCTTTTATGTTAGACTATCGATATTTTATTCATTTTCACTGTGATATATAAAAAATAGACACAGGCAGTGCAGTAAGGAGGAAATGTGCTTTAATTCAGGCTCAGTCAGTATTCTTATCTGTACAATTGGAATAAAGAACATTTTAAACATTAAGATTGGTCTGAAAATTGATTATATCATAAATTCCTGTCAAAGAAACTCAATAAATGCTACTTTCCTTTCTTTAAACATTGCTCCTTAACCTAATTCTGATGCAATCAACCATGATTCTGTCTCATCCCAAAATCAAATAACACAGACGAACACACAAGCATGTTAACAATTTGTAGTTTCTCCATCAGTTTTGTGATTCCACATATGGTACTTGTTTTCTCTAGATGATTCTTGCTTACTGTGCACTTGAGTCTAACAACGAGTTCTGTGAATATTGTTTTACGATATATTATAGTAGTACCTAAAAAATCTTCAAGCATTTTAACTTTTTTTTTTTGTCTGTTTCAAGACAGGGTCTCCCTGAAGCCCCAGATGTCCTGGAACTAACTAGGTAGACCAGGCTGGCCTTGAACTCACAGGGATTCACCTGGCTCTGCCTCCCAAGTGCTGGGATCAAAGGCGTGCGCTGTGACTATTTTTAAGGATATTATGAAACACTTTCCGTGTGCGTGATACTAGTTTACTTTGAACTTTTGCTTGAAACTGATGTATGTGAGCAGATGCTCTGAATTAGAAATTTGGCCTACTTATCACTTCTAGGTAATTAAAGACAGTAAGTAAATTGATTATGTCTAAATCAAATCAACAACATGAAATTGCATCAACGCATTTTTGAGTAAATTCAAGGGGTGTTACCCTTTGTTTAACAAAAAGTGAATTTTCATACTTCATTTCAGTCCCAAGGACACCACCGATATGATGGGACAAGGGCATTCTGATCCCAAGAGTGCCTTAGCAGTTCATGTTGGTTCAGCCAAGTCTGTGGTAGAAATCAGGTCAGAATGACCTTGAGATCCATGTGCATCCTTTTAAAGCTTACTGTAATGTGGAGACACTAAAAGGAAATTACCAAGAACATCAAATCGTTTTACAGTCCTCCAAAAGATAGTATCTTCTTCAAACAGCAAAACTGAATACTCGTCCATGCCAGGACCACTTTGGTTTCTCTTTCTTAAGTTTAGCCTCTGAGTGGATCCTTTCATATTAATTCCTTTGAGATAAATTTGTTATTATGCCTATCTGAAGGTATGTTTTGTTTAAAAGAAATGAATGTGTCTCAAAAGTTTATAGGATACAAAGGGGAATGTTACTAAAGATGGGGATGAGACAATGCTTGTGGTTAGAAAAGGGCAGAACACAGTGATGGGCAGGCCTCCAGCGGGGAGAGCTGGTATTTCAATGCCTGCCTCATCCCTTTGCTCTCCCTCTTCTTTTCATCTCCATGTCTCCGAGTTAATGAGGTAGTTTCAATGAATGGAAATAAAAGGACAAAGAAAGCAATCAGAACAGGTAGAATAAGTTTAAAGGGTTCTAATAAGACACATTGCTAAGTAATTGAGATTAGAAATGGAGAGGGATTAGGGAGATTGCTTAGTGGTTAAAGACTTGTATATGTAGCTCAAGCTATAAGACTAGAGCTCAGATCCCCAGAACCCAAATAAATGCCAGGTGGATTTAGAGGCTTGCCTATAATTCCAGTTTCAACAGAGACAGGGGATGCCTGGAACAAGCTGGATAGAGAAACTAGGTATGGGTGAGCTTTGGGTTTTAGTGAGGCACCCTGCCTTAAAAGAAGAAAGTGAAGGAGCAATGGAGGAAGATTCCTGACAGCAACCCGAGTGGTATCCACACGTGTACACACAGGTGTATGTATACTACCAAACACGTATGCTCACGCATATGTTAGCATACATATACACACAGTCATACATTTGAAAACAGAAAAAAAAAAAAGAAATACATGGAAGGCAAAATAAAAAGTCAAACAAACAGGGTAGATATAACTGCTGAGATCAAACTGACTCAAGAATTAAACCAAGTCATTTGCTGAGATTCTATTATGTGCAAGGTCTTAATATATTTTAAAGGTTGTATTTTGAAGAGGGATTATGAAATGACAGACACATGAATGAGAGGGGTTAAGGAACAGTATACAAAATTGTGATCTGTATGACAGAAAGGAAACAACCATGTTTCATTATTTTTATATATAAAGATATGAGAATTCTAATTAATTTATTAAGATCAATTTACAAAATTTCAATTCACACCAAAATTTTAAGGAATATATCTTTTTATACATATGGAATACAATCTCTGTGTATTATATTTAATTAATTATAATTCATATAGCAAAAGACCTTTAAGCATGGCAGGTGTTTTTTTCTGGGGGGGGCAAACAAGGCTATCAGATGGCATTCATGTGTGCTACTAAAGCTCCAAATGGCCTTTTCTCCTCAAGGTTGGCAGTATGTAGGTAAAATTACAATTACTTTAAAAAAGATTAAAATTTAATAGCTAGGATGCTTATGAAAATGTAAAGGTATCTTTGAGACTGGAGAGATAGCTTAGTAGTTAAGAGCACTGGCTACTCTTGCAAAGGACCCATGTTTGATCCCAGCAACCACATGGCAGCTGACAACCATCCATAATTCCAGTTTCAGGGGATCTGATGCCCTCTTCTGGCCTTTACAGGCATTCACAGAACAGGTGCACTTAAACACACGTGCAGGCAATATACTCATGCACGTAAAATAAAAAAAAAATAATAATAAATGAAATTTAAAAACTAAATATTAAGGCATCTTTATAATCATACAAAAGAGATGATTATATGTAAAATGGTGTATGTATTTATAACTATCAGTATCATATCCTCTCAATCCAAAATGAAGGAAAGATTCAATAGTTTTTCCCACGCATTCCTTCTTGCTCTTTGTTATTTAAAACAATAATTTTAATGTCTAGACAGGAATTCATCAAGTGTATATGCCACATTTTAATCGCTATCTTATTGTTAGAAATGTTGGTTATTATATACATTATGCTATGATAAATACATAGTGCATATTGACCATATTTCTAATATTAAATATGAACTCTAAGAAGCAGAAATATTGGTATAAAATTTATAATCTTTCTTAATTGTTTGAGAATTTCATACATGCTTATAACGTGTTTTGATCAAACCCATCCCTCATCCCTTCCCTTGTGTTCCTCTCCTATACCCCCACTTCTTTTTCCTCCCAATTTCATATTCTCCTTCCTTGTAGAACCCAGTAAGTTCCCTTAGTGCTGCCCTTAAATGAGCAAGTGTGGGACCATTCATTGGATTCATTGGAGCAAGGGTAGTATAACCACCAGAAGGCTCCTCTAAAAGCTGGAGCTGATCCACCAGGAGTATGGGCGATGCTGAGCACACTGGGAAAAAGAGGTGGAAAAAGGGGGTGGAGCTGGGGCCATATTGGGCACCGCAAACGCCAAGAGGGTGTGGGGGTGAGGGGATACGACGACGACGACGACGCAGATGGTGCATGCAAAATATGGAAAAGGAAAAGCCTATAAGAATCCACGTTTCTGTAAACCACCCCGTACCAAATGTCATAAGTTATGCAAAATCCAAATAGGATGCCTTATGTCCGTTTGTCAGCCCTGGGGCCTCAGAGAGCACAGGCATGGGTCTCCCCAGAGAGGGAGGGGAAAATTTACTGAAACAGGTAGCCAGCCTCTCATGGCCTACCTCCCTGAAGAAAATGGATTCTTCCTCCTCCAGCCACCATCAATAGCTCCCTAGATGCGCACTTCATGAGCCACTCCCCTATCATGCTGTGATTTTCACTGGCTTGATTTTATACACGTGTTGTGCATGCAGTCACATCCACTGTGAGTTCATGTGTGCAGCAGTACTGTCATGTTCAGCAAATATTTTTTCACTGCAGACACATAATACCTTTAGCTTTTACAGTCAGTCCACCCCCACTTCCACAGTAATCTCTGAGCCTTAGGAGGCAGGTATGTAGTATAGCTGTCTCATTTAGAACTGATGACTCCATAGTCTCTTATTCTCTGCACATTGACCAGTTATGGGTCTCTGTGTTAATCATTATCTATGGCAAAAAGTAAGCTTCTCTGATCAGAATTTAAAGATGCTGGGGCTGGAGAGATGGCTCTGGTTAATAGCACTGAATGCTCTTGTAGAGAACAAGGGTTCAGTTCCAGTATCCACAAGATGGCTAACTAACATCCATAACTCCAGTACCAAGACACCTGACACCTTCCAGCCTCCCACACTGCACACATGTGTGCACTTGCATACATGCAAAAATAACAATAAACAAAAAATTAATACACTTAAAATTAAAATGAATACATAAAATTATGTTATAAAAAAGAGATGCACTCATATTGGATATAAAGACAAAAACTTAAGGGGCAACTTATTATTATGTTCATTTAGCAGAATGACAGTACTAAGTTCTCCCCTTGAGCCTATGACCTAGTCAATCACAGAGGTTTGGCCCAGTTAATGGTACCAAGCATGAGTTTCATCTTGTGGAGCAGGATTTGAAATCAACTGTAAACTGGTTGTTTATTCCCATTACAGTCATGTCACTTCTGCAACAGTGGACATATCTTGCCAGGCCAGTTGTTACAGTCATTTTTAAACCTGCTTAGAAAAATAGTGTGCTGTGTGAAAGAATATTAGCTTGTTTATGCCTTCGACAATGTTATTTTCTCTATTTTCATTCTTTGGATAATAGATCAGGTGTAAATATATATATAGTGTATATGTGTGTGTACATACTCATGTGTGTTTAAATGCAAGTGTGTGTAGGAGTGTGCATGTATGTGGAGGTCTGAGAATATCTCAAGTGTTGTTCCTCGAGTCATCCTCCTTTTCCATAGAGGGTTTCTTACTGACCTTGAGTTTACCAGTTAAGCTAGGCTTGCCAGCCAAAGAACCTCAGAGATTTACCTGTCTGCCTCTACAGTACAGGATTGCAAGCACACACTACCACCTCTGGCTTTTTTACATGGCTTCTGCAAACTAACTCAGGTCCTCATGCTTGTAAGGCAAGAATTTAGTAAGCTCTATTTCCCAAGACCTGTAAATTTAGCACATTGTTTAGATTTTTATTTAATTGATAGCTTATGAGCCAATATATTAATCCATATGTTATAGATAAATATAGAATACTTTTCTCATCACTTTTATCCTCTATCTGCCATACAAAGGAATAATTATACTTGAAATTTGAGCTACACTATTTTATTTCCTTTATAGAAGCCTGTTATGTCTCTCATTTTATCCAGATTTTTATTTCTTCTTAATAAAACAGGCCAGGCTTAGTGGCACACACTGGGATCATGGCACATAAGCTTAAGATTAGGCTGAGCTGCATAGTGACACATGTTTAAAAAACTCAAGAGCTAGAGATACAGTTCAATGGTAGTGGACTTTCCTCTGTGCACAAGGTCTTGTTTTCAATCCCTAGTACATTCCACCACAATTAAAATCACAAAGTAACCTCAATTCTATTTCCAAATTTACCTTTTACGTTTTCTTAGCGTGTTGTTTCATGATTTTTTAAAATTGGCTGTAATATACCTGCTCCTGTTGAAAAACTTGAATCACAGGAAATAGGATCATCCACATTCTCCACAAAAACCATGAACATATATGTGCTGGTATTATTGACATCATCCCGCGCCTCAATTTCCAAAGAGTAGATTCTGGAATTATTTGGACTATCAAGATTCAGAGGCTGAAGAACAGTGATTATACCTGTAACTAACAAAATAAATAAATTGAACACAAACCATTAAACTCAAATATTTAAGCCTATGTTAGTTTATTTATATTTGTGATGTTTGAATTCACATAAGGATCTACTTTTTCATTCATAAGAAAGAAATGAAAGCTTTTAGCAATTAGCAACTATATATCCACTGCAAATATTTTTACAAGCTTTTACTCTATGCTCATTTTAAAATTATGACTGCTTAAGCCTTATTTTATCACATCTTCCTCTAAATCTCTAAATTACTATGTATTTGTTTACCAAGCACAGATAGTAGCATCCCTACTTTGAAACACAGACTTTTACATTTTATATTAATTATAACTATACAGGACAATAGTGTTTGAGTGTGAAACTCAATCTCATCATTAATTTCTCCCACTGCTCAACCTCAGTCAGCTGCATATAAAGATAGAAACGAGCTCAATGGTCAAACTAAAGAAATTTTGCTAAAATGCAACCTATTATTCATCCCTGGTGCTACCATCTTCCTTCTCTCTGAAAAGTTCTTTTTGCTTTTTCCTTTGCTCTTATCCTGAATGTCTTCATAACTCTCACAAGGCTTCAAACTCAACTAAAATCACCTTATACTTCCTCCACTGAGGCTTGAATTTTGAAGAGTCATGCACAGATCCCAAACTATGGTTTCAAAAAGTATATTATCTAATATACTGGATGATCAGGATGATGACTCTGTAACGTACCAACTTGCTAGGCCACACTATATCCCAGAATTCTATTTTCGTGTACATCTGGTTTTGGTGGACCACAGAGAAAGTCTTTGCCAAGTTGGAGGTTCAAAAGGTAGCAGCAGCCACTTGGTTTACTGTTTCTTAGTTTAGATTTTTACAGGAGTTTTAGCTGATCTCCTACACACTGACTGAAATGAACTAACCACAGCTTAGTCTGAAATGATCTTATCTTTCTCTTGGGCCCATCCAGCCCTTTGACCTTGACACACCACCAGAGTTTATGCTCAAGAAACATGAATCTGAGTTACATTAAAATAAAAAATTCTCAGACACAAAAAATATCTCATAATATTTTAAGTAAGTTTAAAATTTGTGTTGGGCTGCATTTATAGCTACAGTAGGCCTCAGGTTAGACACACCTATGAGATCTTTCAGCTTTTCTGATTTCCAGAATAGGTACTTGTGTGCTCATTTTTGTGATAGAAGGACCCAGTGTCTGCAGGACACCAACACCACCAAAATCAGAGGCAAGAACTATCACAAGTCTCTGTCATGCTGACGGGACTCCTTATACAATTCTGTCTCTTAGCTTACCCTGGAACTTCCCACTTTAAGTGCATCTTATTTTTCCTGACTTCAAGGTCTAGAATTAGAGACAACATTTTTAAAAACACATAATGAGCTCCCACAATATAATCTTGGTGCTTCTTTTTTCTGGTTGAACCCACACTTGATAACACTAGGAATTAAGACAGCTCATGAGAAAAATATTTCAGAGTAACTATCCTGGCCACATAGAAATCCACCCATAATCAAATTCAAAAATTAATTTTTCTAAGAAAAATTCCTAACAATTGCAAAGATGACCAAAAAGATAACCATCTGTCCTATAGTTATAAGAATTTCACATAAGCATTCATGCTAATTATCTATGAATGACGATGACTTTTTATAAAATCAAGGTAGTATGTCACTCATCATTTCATGAGAATTTCATTTTAATAAGTAGGAAAAACCCAAATATAAATGTCACATGTTTCTGGTGTATTCCATTCTCAATGTTTACTTTTGAAAGAGTAATTTTACTAATCCAAGTTCTAAAGGGAGTGGAGATTAGATAGTGACTGTTTAGCTAAGGCAGTCTAGAAGTATTTATCTAAAACTTACCAGGATCCAAAGCAAACATTTCCTGCTGGGTTTTAAAGGAATAAGTGATGCTGTTATCTTCATCTCGATCTGTTGCTTTTACTCTTGCTAAAAATTCTCCAACAGGCTTCTTTTCAGTCACATTAATGGAATTCAGAGGAAATGGCCTAAAGAAAAATTTTGATGAAAATTTGTTAGAGACAATTTACCAATTCTTACAATGTAATTGTCAAATTATGACTTGAAAAGAAAATTCTGGATTTATGATGATACCATTTCCTCTTGTCAAGTATTTAAGAATGCCAAAGCTATTCAAATGCTGGGAAAACTCATTTGAGGCACAAATTACACAAATTTTGCACAGGCATTAATTTTCAGTTGTATCGTCTGTGGTAGATTGCCAGTCATATGAAAAAAGAAGACATAAAAGAGATGAAACGTGAAAAGCAGAAGTGCATAAAGCATCTCCATTATTCCAGAGAGCCAAGGTATGGAATAGCTGGAAAGTGAACATGGAGACTAAATATGTTCATTTTGATCCTGCTGTCTACTGAGATGAGATGCTGCACAATGTCATGATTCATTCGAGCAATCCAGTTCATTTTTGTCACATTGCTGATTACTCTATGTGTCTCACATAAAGTCCCTGATCATCTCTAGAATATTTCTGAAATTTAAATCTCTTCTTAGTCTGCATTTCTTCAGGCATCATACAATAATTGATAACCTGTGTGTTAAGTAAGGTTCAAGGAGGACAAGGGAGTTGAGTGTGTGACACTGTCCCTACATAAGTTTCTTGATCATAACCCAGTGTGGCTCCTCTTTTATACCAAATATAATTCCCCTCTTGATATTTGAATTTTGTACCACTTTAAATGATTTGATTTTTCTATTCCATTGGTAGTTAATGTGCTGAGCCTTCTAAGACATGAAAGAATTTCTCAGAGGATGTGTTTTAGTAATTCAGTCATGGCACATATGTACTTAGTAATGAATTCTGTTAAATAGATAATAAATGTGTGCTTATTATATGAAAAGTGAAAACTTTTGTCTTATTATTGAAGTGTGGTAGTACAGTTTTATAAGTAAATAATATTCAAAAATTATAGTAGACATAGAATTGTGAATTATATGCTAAAATACACTCCTATCTGTACAAATTTTTTCAATGCAAATCATGTTATTTCCCAAAGGAAATGCTAATAAAACATTTCCAAATGTAACAATTTATGCTTATTAAATAATGAGAGCAAAAGATATGATTCCCAGAAGTTAATAACACTTTTACGTCAAACACAAGTACATCTGCAGATCCACTAATAAGGGATTACAAAAACTCTAAATTTGCTTCTATTGCTCATATACTATCAGCAGGTGAATTCAGAAACTCAATAAGTTACTGTTCATAATCATTGATGGAGACACCACTTAGTAGCAGGAAGAAGGTAATTGAACACTACTGCTTATTTTTCTTTTTACTACTCCAAGAAGTGTTTTGTTATCCTTATATTGTTGTGGTATATTTAATTTCTACAGTTTGGAGACTCCACTTTCACATTATAGGAAAAGTGTATCAAATATATGAAAACATTTTCTTTTGGTGGGGCATGAGACACAGTCTCATTATGTAGCTCTGATTAGCCTAGGATTTACTGTGTAGAACAAAATGGCCCTGAACTCATAGATCCCCTCTGTCTCTGCCTCTCCAGTGCTGGGCTTAAAGGCATGGCAACCACATTTGGCAATCTGCAAACATTTTCTAGTGTTACATTGTATTTGGCAATATGGAAGTAAAATAGTTAAATATTTGAAACTCTTATAAGGTCATGCTTTTACTTAAAATTAATGCAATTATTAAAAATCAATATAACAATTTTGGAAAATCTTGGGGAAAAGGAAAAGAGCAAACCAATTTTTTTACCACATTACACTTATACACTTATGTTATGAAATATTTTCTAATACATACTTTGTATCCATACATGCATACATGCATTAATTATGGATATATACTCATGTTATTTTGACAAAACATCATAGCATTCTACATAGTCATAAACTTCATATTGCCATTTGTAATATATATAAAAATGTTTTCTTTAACCATTCTCCTATGCTTACAGTTTGAAATAAATGTGCTTACTGGAACTCAGGCTTCTCATCGTTTGTGTTTCTAATATTGATAATTAGTGTCCCTTGACAGAACAGACCTGCTGTATCTGTTGCTCTCACTTCAAGCTGGAAAGTCTGGAAAGAGATTTTTGAACCTTTATAATATGCTATTTGACAACTGATAATACACACATATTTTATATGTCTCCTGTTACGTTGGCATTTTTTCTCCAATTAGGTATATTTAATTTTTTTCTTCTAAACAGTTGAAACGTAAATGCTTTCTTACTAGAGTCATAAAAATTTTTCAAAATACCTTCATTTTATATCCTATTAACATTCACTCACAGTTCTTTATAGTTTGGCTGCTAGCCTAAATATAGGGGTAATTGAAACAAAACGTAAATGAATTCTGGATTCAACCATACCAGCAAAATATAATGACTAGAAACTCTTGACATAGCAATCTGCTTGAGGACAATCCCTAGAAACAGAACTTTGAACCACTCTTGGGGATGAAGAACATGATGAATTTTATAAAAGGCTGAGTACGTCATCAGAATTGAGTATGTTCCTTGACAGCCTATCCCTTATTTCACCCCCTTAGATATTGTCCATTACTATCATCAAATGTCGCTTTGGAAACAAAAACAAATCACTATTAACATAGTAAGAGCTCTACAAAAAACCTTGCACAAATATTAAATTTCTGTAATGTATTAGCTTCCCTATTGAATGAAAGTCCCACAATGATTGGATAGTGCTTCAATGCATCAGAGGGCTAGATCTGAACTTCCACTTCTTTTCCATCTAAATTTAATCTCACATAGTGCCTGTAAAATCTGTGTCTCACTGCCCTCCTCTGCATCCTACAACGGTTCAGTGTCTCCAAACTGAAATTCAAAGGTTTCGTTGGCTTTTTTTCCACCTTTTATTTTCCTTTAGATTAGAAAGTTGAGATTATATTCAATACTAAATCTTCTCCCTCATAAGTATCTAAATCACCAGTAACTTCTCTATTTTTACTCCAAAGTCTTGCATTTTACTCTTAAACCCTATTTATTTTATTATTTTATTCTATTTTATTTATTTATTTTTACACCCACTTCCCAGATGGCACCCTCCCATAGCATCCCTCCTGATACTCATTTTTACATATGATCCTGCTTTCAGGCCTTAAGCT